CAGCCTTTGGACCGCCGGCGTTTAGGGTCCCTGCTGCCGTGAGCTTGTTTCCTCGCTGCTGACGGCACTGCCCCGCCTCCCTCCAGCTGGAAATCTGCCTTTCAAATCGCTTACTGCTAAAAATTGCCTTCCAGCTGCTTTTGAAGCTGACTTGAGCATGCCTAAGGGTATAAGTTTATTCACTGAGTGAAGTGAAAAGGGAACCGTGGCGTTTTGCTGCGGTTTGGGTGTGTATACATATGTAAATTCTGTCCATCTATTTATATATACAAAAATAAAACTGCACTGTGAATCTGCAGAGTTGGCAGTGCTCTTGCTGCTGTCAAGGTTTCTTTATTCTATAAAATAAAGGCAATCCAAATGGGTTGCAGAGTTAATGAAGATTCCTGGTATGTCTGGTGCCTAGGTACTGATAATCTCGGGAGGACAAAGAAGGCAGCTGTTTTACTAGCTCCTTAAATGCCCTAACAGCAGGGTGGGTCTGTGACATTCTTCTCATTGTTGACTCCCATAGCCCTTGGTATTTGTGCTTCTGTGAACACTGAGCGTTCTGGTGTACAGAATAATGGTGGTTGTGTTGAGTGTTGTGCTGTGCATGTTTGGGGCGTTTCTCAATTTCCTGATTTTTTTTTCAGTTAACAGACTGAAGGCTTTAAAACCATTAGCCTTGCAGCTAATGCAGAGTTGTGCTTGCTAAAAGACATTGTGATTCTCCTATCTTTTGTGCACATCATCACTCTTTTTGAGCATCTTCCTGACTGTCATTTTGTTCCTCTGATGCACCTGCTTAAGCAAATCTGCCTGTAGGTTCATGAGAGGAATGGGATATGGCTGCTTATTGAATTACTTCTGTAGCTTTATCTACCCCATTTATTTCCTCAAGTGAAGAAATGCCCAGTGCCTAGTCCTTTTATCATCTTCAAAAACAAATGGGAAGAATATTTAGTCAAGGTTACTTAAAAATGGGATCTGAGTGAAGAAGTAGGATTGGGGATTTTGGAGCTGAGGGTACAAAATTGTCTTTATTTTTGAAGCATTTATTTTGTTTGTGTGCAGAAGAGTGGCAGGAAGCTGCCATAAGCTTACGCAGTTTACAATGGCTTGTGATTTAAATGTTGCCTCTTCAGATATCCTTGGATCTCAGTTAATTCTGGCTGTAAAATATGTTTCCCAAGAGATATAATTACAAACATTTAACTGTGTCCTACTTGCCACGCCTTAGTAGAAAAGGCTGGCAGTCTTGCCATGGTTTCTTGTCTTCCTGTGGCCGTTTTTTGTTTCCATTAGTAACAATTCCAGTTCTATTATTAATTTTCTATTTTTATTTTTTATAATCTTCGCTAGCAAAGCTTCGTGTTGTTGGAAACTATGAATCACTGTTGCTGGTCTTATCAGAAGCCAGTCACTCTACTGCTGCAAGTTAATGCAACTTCCATAACTTCAGTGCCATTTTCATGGTATCTTGACAAACCCTGTGGTAAAAGAATACACTCTCGGGGTTAAGAACATGCTGTGTTCTCTTAGCAAGGCCTTCTTCTTCTTTCTGTTTTTGAAGTCTTTTAACTTGTAATTCTTTTTCTGCCTACAAGAAGCAGAAACACAGCTCTTATAGTTCTTTATTCAGAATATATCTGTATTAATGGGTGTGTATTTCCTTTCCAGGCTAAATTCATGGGGCTCTTTCATTAGCTGGCGCTGAATAACAAATTGCCTTCCACTAGAGTAATGTTCTGTTAAAAGACTATACCTAAGTTGACCTTCATTGTATTGAAACAGATTTTATCTGGTGAGTTGCTTCAAAAAGCGATGGTTATGCACCTTTGAGGAAGAGAGAGAGAGAGGTGCTTACTGAAGGAGATGTAATAAGAGTAGTTTGTGCCTGACATGGGATGACCGGAAGGTTATTTGCAAGGGTAGGAGAAAAGATTTCTCTCTT